TCTGTCCTCGTTGTCCTCTCCTTTCTTCACGTCATGTTGCACTCCCATCACTGTTCACAAGCTTGACAACGATTCTAAACAAGTTATCTCTAAATGCTACAACAAACAGGAAGGAAAGATCAACACAAGATCGGCTGATTTATGTTGACATCTTTAGTTTTCTGTAGTGGCTTTGAAGCCATATGAGGACGGCTCTCTGAGCTCTTTATATTTCATGCAGCAGACTATTTGTAGTTGGTTTAAATCTTAGAAATGAAAAAAAATGAATGTTATTTTGCTTTCTGTTATTTTTTTTATTTTTTTATTATATTGAGAGGTTGACCTGATCTCTTTAGCTTTACAATACAGATACAAACACTTTATATATTGTTTTGTCCGAGCAGTCTGGAAGGCAAAGTAGTTAAAATAAATTATTTAGTTTATTATTTCCTTTATGTTTTTATGTTTCTAAGAGAGTGACTATGATACTTTGTGGTTAAGGTCTTACTTTAGTAAAGCCATGACCTCCTGTGACAGGTTTTACCCAGTTTTTATTTTATCACAATTAGCACAACTAATATATAAAGTGAAGTGAATTTACAGTCATGAAAACTGTGCAGACTGCCTTTATCATCTAAAATAACTTCTGTTTTTCTCATGACTGGCAGTGCAATACCTTAACTTTTGATGATATCACTTAAAGGGATTTTTGTTATTATCAAGAAAACATTGAGATTGGCAGGGTATCATATTACTCAGCTTTTATTAACTTTTTTTTTTTTTTTTTTTTGGTTTTCTTTGTATTTGGTCGAGACAGTTTTAGTAGTAAATTAAAATAAAGAAGAAAGTGAGGACAAGTAGGTTGCTCTAATATTTCTATTGCATTACTTTATAAAAGAATATTTTACTAACTGAGTCTTAGTGGCTCCAAAACAACAGTGTTAATGAAAGGATAGGGAATTAACCTTAATATTTTCAAGTTGATTTTCAAGTCAATTAATAATTGAGCTTTTATTGATCTCACACTGGAGAATTTTACCTCTGCTTCCTCTTGTGGAGCAGTGGGCTGCCATTGTGTGGCACCCAGGGAGCAGTGTGGGGTTAAGGGTGTTGCTCAGAGAGCCAGAGTTGAGGCTGTGGGGATCGAACCGAGTAATTACAACTTTCTTGGACCACAGGCGCTGTGCTCTATCCACTAGGCTAACACTCTCCCTTATTTAACAGTCCAGCTCATTACAGTGCAGATAGGAGTTTTTTCAACCTGCTAAAGAAATTTTTTTTCAAGTAGCTTCTTAGATGAGATTAGATTTACAAAAGTCAATAATACTGAAAAAAGCTAACATTGTATCTTCAGAGTAATCAGAAATATCATATGTTTTAATTTGTGACCATCTGATCAGTGTTCAGAGCGTCTGATCAGAGCTAGACAAGCAGAAAATAAGCCGATTTCTCAGTCATATCTCATGTAGGATACTAAAAAGTCAATGTTCTGGTTGTTTCTCTTGATTTTACGCTGTATAAAGGTTGCTTAACTTTCATTAAGTTTCATTAATTTAGTCTTAAAGTGTATTTACACCAACCACATTTGGTCTGCTTTAAAAGCAAAAGAGTTTGTTTTGCCACTTAGTCTGGTCCTCTGGTGGAGGTGTAAATAAAGACCAGTGAACTCCGATCTGTCCCAAAGAATACATCTCTTTGGACTTTGCAAGCAAGCCACCATAGTTGTAAATATACTACCAAAATCAAACTTGTTACACTAAAAGTACAATTCAAAAATAAACCAGACCTAAGAGAATAAATTAATTCTGCTTTTGGTCTAAACAAAACAATCAGGCCAAAGTATTTTTCAGGTGTGAATACAACCTTATTTGTTAGAACGATGGCACTGCACATGTCAAACATTTTAAAGGGGTCATAGAATGATTATATAGGATATTTGGTCTGGAAATGGAGCGACCGAACCCGACCTGACGCCTTTGGCCCCGTGCTTCCATCAGCATACCATCACAGTCGGATTCGGACCAGCCCCGGAGCTGATGACTCGGTTCGAATGCCTGTTCCGGTCAAGTCAGCGGCCCAAAGAAAGCCATTGTAAGATCTCAAATTCCTCCCCATTTTATGGCAAAGTTAATTATTTCATTCCCCTTTAGAAAAAGTGGATTTCAAAATCTGGTGAGGAGATTAGGAAAGTGATGAAGCTCAGATGAAGATCATTGGACAGACGGTGCTTCAATGCAGTTTGGAGAAACGGGGGGGAAACCATAACCATTTTACTTATTAAAAAAAAAATGCTAGCCTGATTCCTAAAGCTATTCATAATGTATAGTAAATCTTTATGTAAATTCTTAAGAATTTATTTTTTATACAAAAAAAGAGATTTTTAGTTAGATTACAGATAATCAGTGCATGTAGACCACCATCTCCATTTGTTGGAAGCTTGGGCAAAACCATCACAGTTACTACACAACTCTGAATTGCAGTTTACAACATTAAACATTCTTGGTGATACCAAACCAATGAATAACAAAAATATTATTAATAATTTAAAAATAAATAATAAATAATTTAAAAATGCAAACGAAATGATCTTAAAAAAATAATAAAGGGCTAAAGTGCAACTTTTAGCTTAACTTTAGAACATAGTAGCTTTTTTCACTATTTAATTTTTAGTAAATTGGTCCTGTATAAATCTCGCTTTAGGACTGTTCATAGCTGGTTTTTGACATTGCTTTGTTTTTGCTTTTGCCATTAAGAAAACTGCACAGCGGTGGTTTTTGTGTTTTTCAAGAGCTGAATGACAGGCATGGTTCCGGGTGGCCACGGTGACCCGCAGCTGACACCAATGATTGATCCTGGTGCAGGAATAAGTGCCTGCGCACAGCTGAGCGCACCAGTCTACTGAAACGCAGCCAGGCGGAAAATTTGAAATCTCTTCATCCCTGGTCCATTTGAAATCCGATATCTCTAGTCTTCTTCTCACGCAGCCACCTTTCCTCAGCCAATCAATCAGTAGTTAAATGGTGTGTTTATGTGCATGTGTGGGAATGCACAGAAGGGGGAGTTTTTTATTTTTTTGTCCTTGAGGGCTAAAAGCGTGCATGCATCCAGTAAAACTTCCTTTCCCTTCAAACACACCATTTAAAAAGGAGATACCTTTTTACACACTGACTTACACTTGTATGAGGTGCACCCGTGGCGTAGGATGCCAGTCGAATTTTTAATTCTGCCATTTGTTTCCTCTGAATGTTTTGAGGCAGTATGTGTCCCCCAAAAATATATTTTTTCTTTTGTCAATTTAAATGTTTCAGAAAATCAGATCAATTTAAAGAATCTGTTTTCAATGGTTGCATTTCGTAAGAGAAAATCTAGCCATACCAGGGTTTTACTATGCTGAAAAACCGAATAACTACCTCAACCTAACAACTGCTTGTCCCCATGCGTCTTTGCAAAATTAATGTAATTCAGATAGGGACTTTGTTATGTGCTTTAGTGCATATCTTCTCCAAGAGAACGGAATTCATGGTTCTGTTATTTTACCCCAAGTTTTTCCAGGGCTCTCATTTATAAAACATTGTCTTGGATCCATACTAAAAATTGTATGTGCCAGAAAAATGAAAATTGGCTACACATAAAATTCAGATTTCAGAAACCATGTGCATTCTCCCTAGTATTGCATTTTCCTTAACAAAGCACAGCTGCACTTCAAAGTTTGTGCATAAGCTTCCGCCTCATGTTCTGTCCTCTGCAGATGAACAGCATGGTCAGGTATCATAGGAGTCAGCCATACCGAAATGAGACAGATACTGTTATCTATATATGACGCATTTGTCCCTCTCTTACTTTATCCTGGCTGTGATCATCCAGCTCGTTTCCAGAGACATAATAATGCCTAGTAGGATGCTGGACAGTGGTGTTTGGAGACCTCCGTGCCTAAATATTTACCTAAACCAGCTTGCTTTCCTCAGGACCTGAAGCTTAAAACTCATTTATTGCTGTTTGTGGTGCCCCCCATATAATCTCCCGGGGGCCACATCAGGTTGGGAGAAAAGTCTTTACTACAGACTCTGTAGTATTATCATTTTATTCAGGTGTGGAAGCAGATGGACATCTTAAAGGTCTAGGAATCTGCACCTCCAGGACTGGAATTGAAGTCCCCTTATCTGCGCTCAGTGTGCTTGCAGATTTTTAAGTATAGTCAAAGTATCTGGATGTCAAAACAAAAACAAAAAACAAATTAAGTAGTTTTACTTTTTATAAACCCATAAGAGGAGTTTTTTTGTTTTGACGTCTATGTTTATCACTAACTTTTAATTCACAATGTACACATGCTTAATGGAGCACCTATACACCTAGCTATGCAGCAGAGCATAACTCTGCTGAAAATAAGTAAGATGTTTTTGTTTGTTTTTTGTTTGGGGGGTCTTTCTTTGTTAACCTCCTGGATGAATCCTCGGTGCATCTTTGGGGTAATTGTTTTAGCCATTCATTCATAGAAACGTTTAACACTGTTGCATTTCACTCTGATTGTGGACAGTGATTTGTTTGTGATTAAGTCCCAATGCCTTTTCAACCCAGCTGATTTCAATGACTTTATTATTTTTCTTTAGTTCTGGGTAAAATATAATCTTTGACTCATTTCTGTCAGGCAGGTTTGGGTCACAATGAATTCTTGATTCTCCAATTCTGGCAGTGATCAGAGAATTAATGTGAAGAATATGGTTTTTAATTGTTAAAGTCTTGATCACTAAAGGGGGAGAATTACTTTTTCCCATGGTTTGGATAGCTGTTTATCCCTTTCTAAAGGAAACCATGATTTAGTTTTCTAGTTTTTATTTTCTGTATTCACTTTAGCTATCCGTCGGGTATTAAAGATTGTTGCATAATCTGCAGCATTTAGAAACCATGGAGAAAATTTTTTTTTACGGGAACATCAATGCTTTTCTTACCATATTTGTAGTTCTAGTCTAATTGGTAGAATTTGTTTCCTCAACCTTAACTATTTATCCTTTTGTCTTTACCAGGTACATCTGCCCAGGGCAACCCGCTCCTTGCTTCTCTCCCAATGCCGGGGCGGTCTCTGCAGCCTCAGCTCGACCTCAAACACCTCCTGCCCTTCAGGCTAAATGGATCCTCACCCCTTAGCCTCTTTCCTAACTTTAATACGGTAAGTTTGATGTCATGACAAATGGAACAGTAAATCTAGAACAGAAGGCAAACATTCTTTTGTGCTCAAAAATTTTAGCAGGACTAAAGCTCTTCAGCTGGGCCTGAGAAGAACTTGTGAATTGTACGGTAGAGTTAGCAGACATCCCGTGAAAACAGACTGGCTCACTTTCTCAAAATGATTTTTCTTTTTTGTATAAAATCAAAAATAGTCTTGTTGCATGCTATTTAACACTTGTAAGAATGAAATAAAGCAACTAATAGGAAAACATTAGTGTGTAGTCATAAATGTCTCGTTCACATTCATTGCTTCACATTTTATCCCTTTAGTTCACCGTTCACAAAAAATATAAACATATTCAGTGAACGCCCTTCACTATATATATATATATATATATATATATATATATATATATATATATATATATATATATATATATATGTATATATATATATATATATATATATATATATATATATATATATATATATATATATATATATATATATATATATATATATATATATATATATAGTGGTGGGCATAGATAATTTTTTTTAAATCTAGATTAATCTCACTGTAATCTTGAAAATCATTTACAGTAGTCTAGATGAAAATCACTCATTTGAATTCTGCCAAAGGCATTCATGGTATGTCTGTGCTACCTCTAGAATCTAAAATATCAAAATATTTTGTTTTTTTGTTTCATGTTTGCAAAATCACATGTAATTTTGTCTTCCTACCTAAGATTTTGACAAAGTTATAAATATTTCTTTTCATTTGTTACTATTTTTTTGCTGCAAAAAATAGAGTTTCCTGCTTCCGATTAAAGATGTCCCACTTGAAGAATATAGTGTCTCCAAAAATCCGGCTTTGAGGCAACAGTGTTTGAGGATAATACTAAAATCTGTGTTTAGAATGTCTTTTGTGATGTGAAGATCCCGAGATTTTTAAAAAAGTCCCAAGACTCCACCCCTGGAGATGAAATAGGCTAAACAAATACCACACAAAGCTACATTTTCAAAAAGCGTCCCACTTTACCCACATTCACCCAAGCAATCATCAGGTAAAATAAAATTTTAAATTACATAACATAACCTACCTAAAGTGAAGGAGTGAAGTTCCCATCTAGCATTGATGGGGTGTACAGTAATGCCGACGTCGTTATCGTTATTGACAGATGTCCAATGGTTCCTCATCAGTGCTAAACACGTCACAGTAGGCCTCATAACACTGATTTTTGCTTGCCCCCAGCCTATATACATCCGCGCTAAAATATCAAGGGGAAAGTCATTACTGCGAGAATAGATTAATGGCAATTTTTTATTTATTTATTTTTTTGGTTTTTAATTGGAGGCTGCTCAGTGGGCATTGAGTAGCACTGCTGCCTTGCAGCAAGAAGTGTCATGGTTTTGGTTTTGTCCAAGTTTTATTTTGAGTTTTCATTGGTCTGATTTCAATTCTTGTGTTCTAGGTGTCTTTGATTGCATTTGAGTTCTTAGATATTTCCTGTTTGCCTTCCTGTGTCAGTCTCCTTTTCCCTAGCTCCCTTCTTGCCTTTGTTCACACCTGCTCCCTATCTGCTAATTAGTCTGGTCTTTGTTTCTCTCTCCCATATAATCTCCTCCTGTTCAGTCACTCTTTGCTGGTTTGTCTTCATTACTTTGTCCTAATCTTCTTGTGAGTGTTCTTGGTTTTCAGCATTTGAGGATTTTTTTAGGACCTATGATTTTGGATTTTTGCACTGCAATAGTGAGGGTGGTTTGACAGGACCCAAATGCAGACACAAAAGTTTAAGGTGGTTACTTAAAGGTTTAATAAGAAAAGTTCAACAGAAGCAAAAATCCAAAATCATAAATCCTCAAAAATGCTGAAAAACCATATATATATATATATATATATATATATATATATATATATATATATATATATATATATATATTTAGAATATGAACAGTTGGGTAATTATATTGCATAGACAATGATTATCCAAATATTGACTTACTCAACATAGAACACAGATTCCTCCATCGTATTGCAGTCTTTAATATAAAATCAACACTGGCCTTCAGTTTAGGTTATAATCTTCATTCACCTCTTGTTTTATTTCTTTACGTTGCTACCATCATGACAGCATCAGCATCCGTAGATGGGATTCTTATTACATCGGTCCAAACATCATCAGCAAACCATTTGGTTTCCATGCACCTCTGTGTGATGCTTACTTTGCCTCTGTGACTGGAATTAAAAGCTTGTGTCTTTGATCCTTTCTCTCCCAGCTTTATGCCCATTGTCATTTTGTGTGTGCATGTGTGCAGGCACTTCAAGTTTCTTTTGATCCTTGTTTAAGACACTCATTGTGTATTGGGTTCACTGCTTTACTGCACTTGAGAAAAAAAAAAAAAACTTAAGCTCTGTGGTCTATAAATGGAGGATAAGCTACAGCTTTTACACTCCTGTGTGTCTTTTGGATACAGGGAAATAAAACAGTGACTATAGACATATGGCTGTTTCTTACAGCAGAGGACATGTGGGTGGGCGTGGGTGAGACAGACGTTTGCTGTATGACGTATATGTAGAGGGTCACCAACCTGCTATGGGAAAAGTTCAGTGTATTCATTTGCTCAGCCGCCCACTGTACTACCTTGTAGAACAACATCTATGTGAGTGGCAAAGCCAGCAGGGTAACTCATTCCTCTAACACCCTCACGTATTTATATTAGCAGTGCAAGCTGTGGGCTTAAGTCTCCTGTCAGTGTTTTGTCTGTCTTCCTCTTTCGGGAAAATTGCTGGTTCTATTTCCAGTCCATTGCATGTGCCCAGTGGTTCTTTTGAAAAATAATTTGTGTCAGTCACACTTTGCTGCTTTAAGCATTTGCATTTGCTCTTTCTGTTAGACAAATAACAGTAATTGTTTTGGCAACAGCTATTTTAGGAGAAAAATACAATTTGGAAGATGAATAATAACTGTTATGGAGACCGTACATTTTATAGGAACACGCTTTACACCTCTTGAATGTTTTCATACCTCCCCTTATAGCCACAAGTTTATTTGTTTTTTTAGGTAATTGATAAATAGTGCTGCATAATTGTGGAAGAATATATACCTCTTTCAATTTTCCTCAATGACTATTTGAAAGGTGTGGCAAATATCTATATTTAACCCCATTTTACTCTAATAACCCAGAAAGAAATCTAGAGCATTCAAACGGTTTCAGATGTTACTGGAACACTACATACAATGTTGTGCCAGTTCATAGTTAAAAAGAACGAGCTCAAAGTTCAGTTCACACAGATGAAAATAAACTAGCTTGCACTCATAATTTACAAAAAAAGTACTAAGTCCACAAACCTATAAATGAACCAGTTCAAATTAATTTGGTTAATTAAGCCACAATCCAGAACGATTGTTCGGGAGTGTTGGTCTAGTCGTTAGAGCGGTGCATCTGTGCTCTGAGAAGGTTGCAAGTATCTGGTTTGAATCCAACTACCTCCACTCTTGGTTCCTGAGCAAGACCCTTAACCCCCGTTTGCCTCCCGGGGTGCCTCACAATGGCGGTCCACTGCTCCCAAAGGGGATGGGTTAAATGCTGAGGTAAATTTCTCCAATGTTAGATCAATAAAGTTCAATTATAATTAGGGATGCACGATATTGGGATTTTGGCCGATATCCGATATGCCGATATTTTAAAACTCATGTAGCCGATAACCGATATCGATACTGATGTTAAAGCTGGACAAAAATAAGTAGTCATTGAAAATAGCAGTTTTGTTATCCATATCTGACACTTTGAAAAATAATATACTCAAATATATTTTCATATGCTGATATCAAATAGATTTTTAAAAACGCGGTATCGAGCTATTTTACTTTCAAAATCTCGTGAAATTTCATCGTTCTGTTACAAACTCGTGATATTTTGCAAATTCTTGTGAGATTTTGTTAGTAAAATAGATCGATACCGCGTCAATATATCAACACATTAAAATATGGCAAAATTTCGTGAATTTTCGGGGGATTTCGTAGCATAACAATGACATATAGCAATATTTCATTAGTAAAAGAGATTGATATGATGTTTTTAAATGGCAATATATCAGCATATGAAGATATTGTGATATTTTAATGTATCGATATTTTTTCCCTCGTCTTTAGAAGTTTTTAAGTCTGTAAAAAATAAGTTTTTGAGGAAGAAGAAGAAGTAGTATTTTTTTTTTTTTAGACTGTAGAACTTTAGAAGCTGATCAAATATCGGGTTAAATATCGGTGGGGTGGCCGATGTACGATATTCAGTTTTCAGGCCGATACCGATAGGGGGCCGATTATATCGTGCATCCCTAATTATCATCATTATTCAACCCTACATAATATAACCTCACATTTTACCCTTTAAATGTGTGATCATAATATAAAGAAAGAAATATAAAATACTCAATGCAGTCAAGGTATACTGGATGTGCAGTGAGGCCTCTACTCAGCCAAATTACACAGAACTTTAGAAACATACATTCAGGTTAAGTTCTGGATCAAAACTGATTTCTTCTGTTCCTCATTCAGTAGCAGATATTTCCCAATATAGCTCAGATGCTTTAACTCAATGTGTTGCTTTAATTTTTAGAGTTGACCTGGCTAACATACGGACTTGTTTGTTAAGTCTCTATGGGCACAGTTTTCACAAAAATTTTAGTTTTTTAGTTTTTTGTATTCTGTCCAAGTCTTCCTTTGTTAGTTCATAAAACTCTACCAGAAATACCACTAGTACTAACAGTGAACATGCTGGTGTGTCATCCTGTTTGCCGTAATAACTGCTGTGTGTCTTGCTCATTATTCTCAGAGTAAATGTCTCGTTCGCGTTCATTGCTTCAAATTTGATCCCTTTAGTTCACCGTTCACAAAAAATATGAAAGTATTCAGTGAACGACCTTCATGCAAAAAGCTGACTACATACAATCCTCCAAAGAACAATTCAATAGAGCAGGCATACGACAAGCTTCCTGGT